TCTCTCTCTCTCTCTCTCTCTCTCTCTCACACACACACACACACACACACACACACACACACACACACACACACACACACTCTGACACAACACACACACACACACACACACGCACTCTGACACACACACACACACAGCATCACCCAGGCAATCACTTAATCGCTATTCCTTGTCCCTTGCAAGGCAGAGCAATTAAGCAACCTTCTTGTCGGTCGGTCCGTCTCTTACGGACTACGCTAGCTGGCCTGCCAATGCAAGCCGAGAGAGTTCTATGTCATGGATTCCATGCCCACCCACCCACCTGATTAGCCCACCAATCAAGCCCTTATCTGATTAACCCACCAATCAAGCGCCTACCTGATTAACCCACCAATCAAGCGCCTACCCGATTAGTCCACCAATCAAGCGCCTACCCGATTAGTCCACCAATCACGCGCCTACCTGATTAATCCATCAATCAAACGCTGACTTCATAAGCCCATCAATCAAGCGTCCACCTGATCAGCCCACCAATCAAGCGCGTACCTGATTACCCCACCAATCAAGCGCACTGCTGGTGCTTTGATTATCTGATTCGATCACCGATCTTCTCCTGCTCTCCCGCCCCGATTTAGTTGAAACGTGCCACTTCACCAGTGCTCCTATCGCGCGCTTCCGAGTCAGGTGTGCTTGCTTGCTTGCTTGCGCGGTTTTCGTTTTCTTCACCGAGTTCTCCCCTAGTCTTCACCGAATCTTCCTCCTTTGCCTCTCAATGATGTCGCTTGCTGTTCCTTCCCCGAGCAAATTCTACTCGAATAAATAAAAAACAAATTGTTGACAATTTCATAAATTTTGATTGTGTCCACGCGGCCCAATTATTTCGATAGGTCGACAAAGATCCCGTCGGTAGAGAATCAGCAATGCCCTTCTCTCTCTCCTTGTGTTATCTCCCCGTTGAAAATACTATCTCGTTGAATAGAGCGAATAGAATAGACAAACCATCTGTGTCTTTTCCTTTTTTTTTTTTTTAACAAACCACCAGTCAGTACTATGGTCGCAATTTTATTTTATTATTATTTTTTTCTTTGAGAAGGTTCGCGATTCGCGTCAGCGAAACATATGAATATGAATTTATGAATTTACAGGGCCCTCTCGAAATGTGCATGCAAAACGAGAGTGAATCTGCCGCTAGAACATGGAAAGATACACCGCGAAGATTTTTGCCTTTCCTGCATGTCGAGAGTGCTGGAGCCAGGCCCCACTTTTTTAAGGAGGGTCGGGGGACCGGGGGGG